GGACGCACCCTGGGACTTGAAGGGGGGCTTCGAAACCTTGGGCTGCTTGGGCTGATGAGGTGGATGCTTGGGGAGCGCGACGGCGCGCTCGGCGTCGAGACGCGCCCGAAATGCTTGCAGCTCCTTCACGTATTCGCCCTGCGCCGACAGCCAGCGAGGATCCACCAGGGGTGAGAACGGGGTCTGGGCCTCGCGCTCCGTGTGACGACTGGTCACGCGACACGGGGGAGGCTCCAGCCCCGTAAGGAACCAGGCGGCCTCGAGATAGCCGCGGTCCCCCGCCAGCTGGTCGATGAACATGCACTGACACGTCAGTAAAGTCTGGACTCTCTCGGGGTTGCCCTCTTCGCAGGCCCGCCACAGCTCGGCGCTGAGGAAGGCGAAATGCGTCAACAACACGTGCGTCGTCGGCTGAGCCCCCAAGGGACTGTGCTCCCGAAAATACTGATGCATGGCCATGGGGGTCACGGCGCTGACTTCCACGCCCAGGACACGGGCCAAATTCTCCTTCATCAGTCCTCGCACATCGGGGCCGTGCTGTAGCAGCGCTTGCTGCCACTCGCGCCTCCGAGCAATGCCCCCCATCTGGGCCGATGCGGGCGCGGGGTCGCCCGAGCTCGTGGGCGGAATTTGAGCTGAGTCGCTCAGGGTCCCCAGAAGCGGATGGACGGTTGGGCGATGGCCCCGCCCCTGCTGCAATAGGAGGGACTGGTGCAGGCACTGTAGCATGAGGCTGAAGTCCGTCGGATTGGCCGCATGGGGCGGCTCTGACCCGTCGGCGCCGCCCGCCTCGGCAAAGCCGTCGGCCGCAGCGGGATGGGCTAGCCCAGGTGGCGGCGGGGGGCCCATCGCTCCGAAACCGGACGAAGGGGCCCGAGGGACAGCAAGAGAGCGCGCCTTTTCCCACGCCGAGACCAGCGCGGAGGTCGGACCCTTGGGACGCGCGGAGACCCGCTGTGGGGCCACGGGCGCGTGAGACAGGACGGCCTCGATCCCCGCAGGATCCAGCCCGAGGCGCACCGCTTCGTCGCTGAAAAGCTGAGGCACCTCGGGCCGATCGCTCCGGGCAGCCGGCGCGGGGCCGGCTCGGGTCTGCCGACCATCGTGGAGGCCGCGTGGGCTGCAAGCAAGGCGCGCATTTCGGCAGCTACTTCGGCACGGGTCATAGGAGCCCCGTCGTCCAGAGACGCCGCAGGGGCACCAGGAGCGATCGGAGCGGGACCCGCGACCCGTGGCGGCGCGGCGGTGCCCGCGCGCTTCGCGGGCGGGCCGCGCGGCGCTCCAGCGTCCGCGGGAGATCGCGCACTTGGGGCCGTGCGGTCGGCTTCCCCGTCGGCCGCGAACCCCTCGGGCTCCTCCATCTCGTCGGCAGAGTGATAGGGAGTAGCCCGATCGGCCCCTGGGAGCGGCTCTTCTCCTGCAGTAGGCGGGGCGCCGTGCAAGCGTGCGTAGCCCTCGCGAAGCACCCGAACCCCCGAAGGATGTGGCCAATAGACGCGGCCCCGCACCTCGGCGAAGGGAACGATGACTGCGTCCTCCCCGACCTCTAGAGGGTAAAGCGACTCGAGCTCGAGCTCTGCAACCTCGATATCTACGACGAGGACGGATGCAGTAGTGGCGAGCGGCCGTGAAGCGGCCCCCTGGAGCTGGACGTCCACTAGCTGGAAAGGGCCTATCATTCCTGCAAAGCCATCCGCCTCGGCAGCCACGAGCTCCGCCGTAGAGCGAAAGGCGCCAGGCAGGGCCAGAAGGATGCCCCCTTCTCGAGACGCGAGGGGGATAGCTGCCCAGCTGGTGTCGCCGTCGTCTAGGCGCCATCGTGCGTAATCGCGAGCCGTGGGAGCCGCGAATGGGTAGAGCTCGGGCCATAGAGGCCCTCCGCCAACTGGTGGCAGCTCAGCCATCAATGGGCGCTGTCGTGGGAACTGCCGCCCGAATGCTGGGCGCCTGCCCGCTCGAGCGCTCGAGGCCGAGGCGGAACCCCGTAAGCCAGCGCTCGCGCCGCACGGCGGTCCTGCTCAGGGGAAGCAGGAACCGCACCGCGCGGCCAGGCGGAGGCCCTGAGCCTCCGCCACACGTACGGGCCCAGCAGCCCGAAGCAGCAGCCTGCGCAGGCGCTGCACGCGGCCGTCACCCAAAGGAAGGCGACGACCGTGCTGAGCAGCCAGGGAGAGACCCCGCCGCTCAGATCCACCGCCAGCCCGAGGCAGACGGTGGGGCAGGCGGAACCCGCCGAAGGGAGGGGGCAGTAAGCCCCCTCACCCTCGGACGAGTCCGCCTGCTGGATGGACCAGGCAGGCGCAGGAGGCCCTTGGTCCTGAAGCACAGAAAGGGGGGCAGACACGAGCCGCTCGTAGAGCGCGGCCCGCAGCCCCCTGAAGAAGATCTCCCCAGCGCCCCCGAGAGCCGCTTGTGCGACCGCCTGCATAAGGCGTCCGCACGCGCGGCCGACGGGGGGGCACTTGGGCAGAGAAGCTGCGGAGACAGCAGGAGCTTGCTCACAGAGAATAGAAGAAGCATGAGGAAGATATCTTCCCCGCCGCGGCCGGACGGCCCGACCTTCTGGCGGATTTCCTGGTCCCTGCGCGCACCTTCCGGAGCGCGGTTCCGGGCCCTGTCTGGGGCCACTCGGCTGCGTGCCCCCCCCCCGCTGCAGTGCGCCAGCCGAGGGAGACTGGCCCTGGGTACCCTTGGGTCCCTCCTCTAAGCTGTATGCGCAAGGGTCTAGTGGAACTCTCGGGGATAAGTAATTATAGGGTGCGGTGACGGGTGCGCGGAAGGGAGCGGTGACGGGTGCGCGGAAGGGTGACATGGCTTAGGGGCCCTCAGCCATCTTCACGTCCCGAGCTGCTTTCTCGACGGCCCCGGGACCCCGGAAGGGCCCCAGGATGCTTGGAGAGGAGAGACAGAGGACCCTGTCCCTCAGGGCGCCCCCCCTGATCTTTACGGCGGCCCTGAAAATCCGCCCCGTGGACCTCTCTCCTCGGGGCGCGGAGAGCGCCCTCCTCCCTGGGGCGCGGAGGGCGGCGCCGGAGGTGCCCCCGTGGGAGGCCCAACGCCGTTCCAAGAGATCCGGGCAGATCTCGAAAAGTCGTGCTCATACCGATGTGTGTTCATTTTCTCCTCATTCTTCTTTTTAGTGTTATTATGATTAGTATTATTATTTGTATTATTGTTATGAGTATTATTAATATTATTTTCGTCTTATGGCGAAAAGAAATCAAATACTGCCGATGCCGCTACTCCTGGGGCCGTTCCTGGGGCGCGTCCTGACCAGAATGCCAATGCGAATCCAGCCGTGGTGACGAGGCCATCTCAAGATGTCGCCGAAAACAAAGAAACAAGAATGGCCAGGGTCGCCGCTTCCCGCGCGCTGCTTGAAAACAATAGACATGAAGCTGGGGCCCCTCGAACTGCAGGATCCGTTTAAGGGGTGCGGCGGGATCCGCAATCCTGCTCAAAAAACCTGTCACTGCCGCCCGCGCGCGCCCGGCGCGCGCGTCACGACGCGGGGTCCTACTGACAGGCTGGCGTCCAATTAGGGGGGGCCCTTTGGTGGCCTCCCGAATGGGTCGAAGGATCGCGCCGCATCGGCGATGCATCGGCGGTGCCCAGCCGACGTCGACGATGCATCGGCGACGTCGGAATGGAGGAAATCTGGATGCATATCGAAATGCGCGGTCCCTGGAGGTCCCGACCCATTCCCTGGGATATCCCGGCCCTTCCCAAAAGGAGTCCATCTGGCGCGCCGAATGGACTCCATCGAGAGTCCGGTGTGGGACGTCCTCACAAATCTCCCCCAAAAACGATGGAGCCCATCATGCGCCGAATGGACTCTCGAGACTTAAGCAAATCTGGCGACGAAGGACTCTATCTGGCGACGAGTCCATCCGGCGAACTGACAGTCTATCCGGCGGCATTCGAGTCCATCCAGCGCCAAATTACAATCCATCCGACGGCATTAAAGCCGATCTGGCCGTCAAATTGGCTATCGTGGCATCCGAGCCAATTCAGCGGATAGCCCCCTTGTGCTGATTGCACGACCCCGCGACCCCTCGACCAAGCGAATCCCGCGCCCCCTATGACCACCCCGCGCTTCCACGACCCCACCACCCCGCCACCCCACAACTCCGCGACCCACGACCCCACGACCCCGAGACTCCACGATCCCGCGGCCCCACTATCCCGCGACCACAAGAACCCGCGACACCGCGACCCTGCCACCCCACAAACCTGCCCACCACCATGCCACCCCACCGCCATGCACCACCATGCCACCCCGCCGTCACCTCACCACCATGCCACCCCGCGACCCCACCTCACCACCACGCCACCCCATACCGATACAGTCCCAAAGCAACACACATGACAGTCCGTGCACAGTGAGAGACCTGTAGAAATAAGTGCGCACGCCGAGCCTCCGGTGCGTCCGAGAGGCGCCAACATAAGGATGTGATTTGTTTGGGCGGGGGCATAGGGAAAATAACTATCGCAATGATTTCTTTTGAAAACGCACTCCCGATTTCAAAGAGTCCATTCGGCGAAGCCTTCTCACAAAACCCATCCGGCGAAGTTTGAGCCCATGCCCATCCTGCTGACATTAGAGCCCATCCGGCGCGTCGACTGGACTCAGTCGGCGAGAAAACAGAGTCCATCTGGCCAAGGGAGTCCACCGTCAAAAAGAAGAGTCCATCCGACAGCGCGACTCAAGATTTGCAATGCTTTCTGCACGTTTAGCTCACGTCGATTAGAGCTCATCTGGCGGTTGCGCGGGGATCCGCCGAATGGAATTTCACTCGGCGCCAAACAGGCTCTTTTCGGAAGGACTGGGCGGTTTTTCATCCTAAATCGTTGTTTGACGGTCCTGGGGCCTGGCGAGGGCCCCCGGAAGCCGAGCATTGCCGAAAACCTCCCATCGTGACTTCGCTCACGACGCGAGCATGCCTGGGGAGAGCCTTGCACCTTGTTTCCTCCTCTTCCTCTTCGACTCGTGGCGACACCTGCGAGCTGTGCCCCCTCAGCGGCCGGACGCCGCCTGCCTCTCGGGCGGGTGGTCATGGGGGGGACCTACATGGGGGGTGAAGAAGAACAGGGCCCTACAGGGGCTCTATCCTCCACCACCCATGTAGCTTTAGAACGTCCAGGGTTCTCTAGGGATGGTCTCCCTTGAAAACAGCCAACCCACACCATCCCGAACCCCTACGAAAACCCTCGGGGAAGGGTTCCCAGAGGCTTTCCTAAGGGCTTCGGAGGGGTTTTCGTTGTTCTGAGGGGGAAACAGTAGGTCACCCCCCAATTGCCACCCGCCCGAGCCTCCAGGAGTGCGCTGGCCCGGTGCAGCACGTCCTGAGCATCGTTTAACCGATCCCCATCTCCAGCGGCGTGGCCTGGGCCCCGCTGGCAGATCTACCCCCTAGATGTGGATACAGGCCGTTTCCTTCGGATTTCGAGGGGTGTATCCCCAACTGGGATGCTAATTTGGTGGGGGTCTCGAAGGGGATGAAGATGGGGATGGGGGTCGGTTGAACGATACAGACGTCCTGCGACGCGGCGAGGCCGGAGAGGCCGAGCTTCGTGGCCAGCTGCGCGAGCGCCGCCAGGTGGACGAGGTCGCGCCTTGGGGGCCCAGGCGGATGGGCCGATTTTCCACCACCGCTACCGTAGGCATGTCGGAGGAGGAGGAGGAGGCGGAGGAGGAGGAGGAGGAAGAGGAGGAGAGGGGAGAAGCAGGAGGGAGGAGGAGGAGGGAGGAGGAGGGAGGAGGAGGGAGGAGGGAGGAGGCGGAGGAGGAGGAGGAGGCGGAGGAGGAGGAGGAGGAGGCGGACCTCCCCAGCCTCCCTTCTCCCCCGTCCAACCGATGGCAGCGGTGGTGGGACAGTGGCCCATCACAAGCGCGGGGAGCCCAGGGCTCCCGGCGCCTCTCTTCTGTCTTGGCATTGGGAGGCGCGGGTCCTGGGGACAACGGGCCCTGGACCCCGGGGGCCTTCCCCCAGGGCGAGCTCGTCATCCTGAATAGTTTTCTGGCAGTTTCGGGGCGGGCCCGCGGGGGGCCCCGAGGAACCGAACAAAAACGGCGAGAAGTCTCAGGATCCGTTTCCACCATCCGGATCCGCCTCCCCCACGGCGACTGTCGAGCTGGGCGTTCTCGCCCAGCTCGGGACCCCAAACAGTGGCGCAGAGAGATGGGTCCTGGGCTTTGGTTGTGCCTTTTCACGGTGTCGCAAGTTCTTCGCTACATACGTCAGGGATGGCGGTGGGTGCACAGGCAGGGGGTGAGAGAGGAGGGGGTGCAGTCGACCAGGAGAGGGATACTGGTACACCTGTATCCCCTCCTGGTCGACCCGACGGGAGGAGGGGAGGGTGGTGGGATCGAGAGGCGAGGGAGGAGGGGAGGAGGGGAGGCGCGGGGAGCAGGGCGCGGGGAGAAGGGCCGAGGGAGGAGGAGGGACGGGAAGGGGGGAGACAGAAAGAAGCGGGGAGGGGAACCGAGAGGAGGGGGTCACAGGGGGAGGACACGCACGTACACACATACACACACAAACATAAAAACACACAGACGCACATGCACACAATCGCGTGCACATGTACACATAGGCATGTAAAGCTTAATCGGCATGTGCGTACTTCAATACATATACACATAGTGAGAGGGAGTAAGCAAGAGAGAGAGGGAGAGAGAGAGACAGAGACCCAGGCAAATATGCAAACACAATAAGAGAACGACACATACATATGATGATGATGATGATATATATATATATATATACAGACGGACGGACGGACAGTCATAACGCAAAACGGTGCATACATTTGAAGATGTATGTGTATATATGTGTACACATGTACACGTACATTGTCCGCCACCGTGTCGCTGGGCATGGAACGAGCGTGTCCTCAGGTCCTTGGCTCAATCCTCTAAGCCTCAATCCTCGCTCCTGAGGAGTCTTTTCGAACATCTCCGGGGGCTTGTTGCGTTCCCCTTGGGTTCCCCCGCATGTTCTCGCGTGACCTGCTGGGGCCCAGGAGGACCCCAAGACGGGCCAAGAGGGTCCCAAGAGGCACTCAGGACGGCCCAAGAGGGCCCCGAGACACCCAAAAATCGCGCCAAGACGCCCAAGATGGCCCCAAGATGGCCCAAGAGGCCTCCGAGACGCCCCAAGAGAGCCCAGAAACCTTCCCAAAAGGACCATGATGTCAACATGTGTTGTTGGAGGCTTCTGGTCATCCTAATTCTTCGGTTTCCCGACACTCCAAAAACCATCGGGGGCGTCCAAGAGGGGGGCGTCCAAGAAGGGGGGAAGGGCGAAAATCATGGTTGGCCGGCTTCACGTGCGCGGCCCAGGGGGGGGAAGGGGGGGGGGGGGGGATGCATTGAAAAAGGGGCGCAAGGCAATCAGGGGAGATGTCATGGCACCCGCCATGACATCCCCCCCCTAGTCATCGGCCCCCTCTCTGCCGACCCCGACCAGTGGAATCAGGCGACCGACTGCGGAAACCCTGGCCCAAAAACGTTTTCATCTCCCGGGTGTACATTACAGTGGGGGCGCGGCCACAAGAAACCCTCGCAAAAAAACATAACCTTGAAAACCCGCAGAATTTCTTACCCAAGGCTTGGGTTTCTTACCCGACGGCGTCACACGGAGAAACCCAGGGGGCCGTTGCCCGAGCCGTTTTCTTGACAGGCCGCGCTCATAGAATGCGCCAGCACGGCTTGGGAAGAAACTCGTGGCGATCTGGGATGTCAACTACATGGGATTGTGGCAGCGTTCCCGTGGCCACAGGAAATCCTCGGGTGCCCCGCGAAAACCCGTAACATATTCTCTTGTTGCCGCTAGCGCCCGACGGCCTGTCCCAAGGTTCCAAGAAACCGAAGGCGCATTGGCGGGCCGCGAAATTTCCCTGCACCCCCCCTTGCGCCACATCTTGTCTGGGGCTGCATTGCCAAAGAAACCCAGTGGGCCTTTTGCCGCATGGAATCTCACAGTGTCGTCGCCGAGCGGCTTACCGACCGACGTGCATGATGCCCCGAGATAAGTAGCGCTGCGCGCCCCTTGCGGGGCGCTGTTCGGCCAGGGGCCGCGCTGCCCAAGAACCCCAAAAGGCGCTGTAACGGCTGGGCCCTGCCTGGCCGTCGGAAACGCAATGGTCGTGCGCCGAAATCTGCGCGCCCACGCGTGCAACGCATGGGCGGGGCCCAACGGCCGCGCCCAAGATCCCGCGCGCCCTCGCAAGAAAGGCGTCGGCGGAAGCAAAAGCGAAACCCTGGCCACGGCCAAGAATCGGCGCGCCTCGTGCGCGACGCACGGGCAAGGCCCATAAATAGTCGCGACCGAAGATCTGCGCAACCGCGCGCGCAATGCACGGGCGCGTCGGCGAGGCACAACGGCCGCGCCCAATCCAGAACCCATGTATGCTGACAGTGCAAATGTCCTCAAGCAAGGGCGCACGGCGAGTACGCGCGCACGAGCGCGCCAGCGTGCGCGGGGAGTGCTGTATTGACCACAACCAAAAACATTCACAGGAGCCCATGATAACTTCAAAATCCATGCGGTCACCGTGAAGGGTTGTCTCTAGTGTCCAGACCAACATGGCGACGCTTGTATCCTGGACAATACATGTTGAATGATGACAATGCAAATCTTACCCGGCCAGGGCACACGGCGCGTACGCGCGAATACGCGCGCGTACGCGCGCGCGCGCGAGCAGACGTGCGCGGGGAGTGCTGCATTGCCCACATTACAAAATACTCAGACGAACCCATGCTAACTTCAAAATCCACTTGTTCACCGTTAAGGGTTGACTTTAGTGTCCAAGAGAAAATGGCGACATATTGTATTCTGGAAAATACAGAACCTACTTCTGCTGGCAACACAAACCTTAGCAAGCTAGGGCGCACGGCGCGGACGCGCTGTGTGCGCGGGGAGTGCTGTATGTCTACAACAGATACCCTTCACAAAAGCCCATGTTAACTTCAAAATCCAATCGGTCACCGTGAAGGGTGGACTTTAGCGTTCAGGCCAACACGGCGACTTTTCTATTCTGGACAATAGAAAACCTGTTCTTGCAATGCAGAACTTATCAGGCCAGGGCACACGGCGAGTACGCGCGCATACGCGTGCGTACGCGCGCATGCGCGCGCGCCCGCGTGCGCGGGGAGTGCTGTATTGACCGCCATCAAAAAAATCACAACAGCCCAAGTTAACTTCAAAATCCAATCGGTCACCGTGAAGGGTTGTCTCCAGTGTCCCGACCAGCATGGCGACTTCTGTATCCTGGACAATACAAATTGAATGCTGGCAGCGCAAATCTGATCCGACCAATGCACACGGCGCGTACGCGCGCATACGCGCGCGCGCCCACGTGCGCAAAACACTCACAAGAGCCCATGTGAAATTCAAAATCCACTTGTTCACCGTTAAGGGTTAACTTTCGTTTCCAAGCGAACGTGGCGACTTATTGTATTTTGAGAAATACAAAACTTACTTCTGCTGGCAATGCAAACCTTAGCAGGCTAGGGCGCACGGCGCGGACGCGCTGTGTGCGCGGGGTGTATTGTCCGCACCAGGTACCGTTCACAAAAGCCAATGTTAACTTCAAAATCCAATCGGTCACGGTTGAGGGTTGACTCTAGTTTCCAGGCCAACAGAGCGACTTTTGTATTCTGGGCAATACACAGCCAATGCTGACAATGCAAACCTTAGCAGGCCAGGGCGCACGCGCGCTCGCCCGCGTGCGCGGGGAGTGCTGTGTTGTCGCAAGGATGCAAGAAACTCAAGGAGCCTTTGGCACCTGGGAGTTTCTTTGGTAGCGGGCCGTTTGATTGCCCGAAGTGCAACTGGGAAGAAACCCAAGGACTCCTGGACACGAACATTTCTTGGCAACCGCGAGAACCCATCGCGCAACACGCGGCGCGAAGAAACCAAAGGCACCCTGACGAAAGTCATCCGGTTTCTTGATGCGCGCCGCCTTCCGCAGCCTTTCGTTAGGTCGGGCCTGTCCCCCTACAGGGGGATTTTGGACTACAAATAAAGAATACCCAAACAATACTCAAAAGATGCCCCAACATAATCAAAAACTAGTCCCCAGACTATTGTTTGACAATTTTCGAATATTCCGCCTGCAGAGGGACAGGCCCGACTTGAGCCTTTCGCTGACCTTCCGCCGCCGTCCGCCGAGAGAGTGGTGCCAGGTCCTCTGATCCTCGAGGAAGGGTGTCTTTGTGGAACGCCTCGCGTGTTGTCTGCGCGGGGCCATTCACAAGCTGGACGCGGTTCAAATACATAGCGTGCGGAAAACCGTAGGCACCCATCACTTCACCTCAGCTGTGTTTCCAAGGCGCCCGTGCTGGAGACGTGCAGTTGGCGTGCTTTGACTCGTTGCTTGTTCTTCAAGCGGTTTTTGTGACTGGGTGAGTGGCTAAACTCCCAAGGGGACGGCGCTCTCCGGCGCTGCGAAGGGAGCTCTGTCTTTGCTTCCCCGGGGGGCCCCTGCGAACGGCGCAAACCAGGAAGAATAGACAAGATCTGTGCACACCACTGCTTATAAACCCGCATTGAACCCAGGTGCCTTGCACGAGCGGAGCCAGCAGGCCGCAAACAATTGGCAGTCCACCTTGG